AAAGACAATTAGACGCACTTTTTATATAAATTCTAATCAACCAGAAAAAGTGTCATCGCCACATCTATGAGCTCAAAATAGTTCTAAGAATCTCTTCTCAGCCTGCTGAACGCAAAACTGCAATAAAACTTGAAGATTTGTGCAACAAATAAAATATGGAGCACCATAAAAATTGCTCCCTCGACTAAAAGACAAATAGACGCACTTCTTATTTAAATTTTAAACAACCAGTAAATAGTGTCATCGCCACATCTATGCGCTCAAAATAGTTCTAAGAATCTCTTCTCAGCCTGCTGAACGCAAAACTGCAATAAAACTTGAAGATTTGTGCAACAAATAAAATATGGAGCACCAAGAAAATTGCTCCCTTGACTAAAAGACAAATAGACGCACTTTTTATTTAAATTCTAAACAACCAGTAAAAAGTGTCATCGCCACATCTATGAGCTCAAAATAGTTCTAAGAATCTCTTCTCAGCCTGCTGAACGCAAAACTGCAATAAAACTTGAAGATTTGTGCAACAAATAAAATATGGAGCACCATAAAAATTGCTCCCTCGACTAAAAGACAAATAGACGCACTTTTTATATAAATTCTAATCATCCAGAAAAAGTGTCATCGCCACATCTATGCGCTCAAAATAGTTCTAAGAATCTCTTCTCAGCCTGCTGATCGCAAAACTGCAATAAAACTTGAAGATTTGTGCAACAAATAAAATATGGAGCACCATGAAAATTGCTCCCTCGACTAAAAGACAAATAGACGCACTTTTTATATAAATTCTAATCAACCAGAAAAAGTGTCATCGCCACATCTATGCGCTCAAAATAGTCCTAAGAATCTCTTCTCAGCCAGCTGAACGCGAAACTGCAATAAAACTTGAAGATTTGTGCAACAAATAAAATATGGAGCACCATGAAAATTGCTCCCTCGACTAAAAGACAAATAGACGCACTTTTTATATAAATTCTAATCAACCAGAAAAAGTGTCATCGCCACATCTATGAGCTCAAAATAGTTCTAAGAATCTCTTCTCAGCCTGCTGAACGCAAAACTGCAATAAAACTTGACGATTTGTGCAACAAATAAAATATGGAGCACCATAAAAATTGCTCCCTCGACTAAAAGACAAATAGACGCACTTCTTATTTAAATTCTAATCAACCAGAAAAAGTGTCATCGCCACATCTATGCGCTCAAAATAGTCCTAAGAATCTCTTCTCAGCCAGCTGAACGCGAAACTGCAATAAAACTTGAAGATTTGTGCAACAAATAAAATATGGAGCACCATTAAAATTGCTCCCTCGACTAAAAGACAAATAGACGCACTTTTTATATAAATTCTAATCAACCAGAAAAAGTGTCATCGCCACATCTATGAGCTCAAAATAGTTCTAAGAATCTCTTCTCAGCCTGCTGAACGCAAAACTGCAATAAAACTTGACGATTTGTGCAACAAATAAAATATGGAGCACCATAAAAATTGCTCCCTCGACTAAAAGACAAATAGACGCACTTTTTATATAAATTCTAATCAACCAGAAAAAGTGTCATCGCCACATCTATGCGCTCAAAATAGTTCTAAGAATCTCTTCTCAGCCTGCTGAACGCGAAACTGCAATAAAACTTGAAGATTTGTGCAACAAATAAAATATGGAGCACCATGAAAATTGCTCCCTCGACTAAAAGACAAATAGACGCACTTCTTATTTAAATTTTAAACAACCAGTAAAAAGTGTCATCGCCACATCTATGCGCTCAAAATAGTTCTAAGAATCTCTTCTCAGCCTGCTGAACGCGAAACTGCAATAAAACTTGACGATTTGTGCAACAAAAAAAATATGGAGCACCATAAAAATTGCTCCCTCGACTAAAAGACAAATAGACGCACTTTTTATTTAAATTTTAAACAACCAGTAAAAAGTGTCATCGCCACATCTATGAGCTCAAAATAGTTCTAAGAATCTCTCCTCAGCCTGCTGAACGCAAAACTGCAATAAAACTTGAAGATTTGTGCAACAAATAAAATATGGAGAACCATGAAAATTGCTCCCTCGACTAAAAGACAAATAGACGCACTTTTTATATAAATTCTAATCAACCAGAAAAAGTGTCATCGCCACATCTATGCGCTCAAAATAGTTCTAAGAATCTCTTCTCAGCCTGCTGAACGCGAAACTGCAATAAAACTTGGAGTTTTGTGCAACAGTTAAGATATTGAGCCCCATTAATATTGCTCTCTCGACTAAAACACATATAGACGCTAATTTTATTAAATTTCTAATCAACCATCACAATTGATCAGGCCACTAAAGCCTCTCTTTAAATGACTAAGGAGGGAAATATAAACAACTAATAGTCACAAAAATTCATAATTATTTTGCAAGTCATTGAATTAATGCATAAAAAATAAAAATCTATTGAATGAAATTAAATTGCATATTATTAATTGCGGAGGAAAAATATTTTCCACGGTTGATGCAGCGAATGATTACGCAAAGCTCTGTTGACAAAATTCCAAAGTCATTTCTATCGGAGTGCAAAGCGCAGTCGGCGTCACAGGGAGCGAGTCATGCTTATGTTTTTCCGGCAAATCGCAGCCGCTCTGCTTGATTGAAGTCCATTTCATGAAGTGCAATATTGAGTTGGTCTGCTCTTTGCTGCTTTCAATTTCGCAACAGCGAACGCTGCACCAAAACAAAAAGTGCACGATATGGACTCGGAATGCACAAAATGAAATGCCAGTCGAGAGTTGTTTGGTGCTTCGTGCATGCCCTGGAGTGCCAATGTTCGAAATAGCATCCATTCACATATCGGAGCCGAGTGGATGTTCTCGTAAAACGAGAGCAACAACGATAAGACTCTATATAAAGCTGTTGCCTCTGCATCGGGATTTACGCCGGAATGTGAGCGTTTCTAACTAGAGGCTTGGCTCTGATAAGAGTAATTTTCTCGAAAAAGTTGCTTATCTTGTGGCTGAGCAATGGACATTTATGCTGGATTTTGGAAGGAAAAAAAGCTATATATTTTTTTTTTTTAAATAATGTAATAAAACGGAAATTTGGCTGATTTGAATGAAAGGAAAATAGTTTATTTTTATGTTATGAATGAAAAAAACTACTCAATTTATGTATTTTTGTTGTTGATAGTTATGGAAAATCAAATTAGAATTGGTATGTACTTTTGCTGGCCAGATAAAGTAATATTGAGGCACTTATTAATTTTTAAAAATTTATCCCAAAAAATATTGAAACAAATTAATTTTAATAGCATATAAATAGGCTTCACGTTTTAAGTTTGCATAATAAATAAAAACACATTAACTGCAAAAAAAAAAACAATTTAAAAAAATAAATAAACTTACTAAATTGCTTTAAATAATATTATTTGTCAGAATTATTGACATTTAAAATTATAAAATAAAACATTTTGTACAAAATAACAGTTTTAATATGCTTTGAAATAGTATTATTGTCGCATTTTTAACGTTTTTTTATTAAAACAGTCATAAAAAAGCTAATCATTTTTTAATTTTGATATTGCAAGATTAAAACTCCATATAAATAAATAAGTTTCCGCGTCGAGTGTGAAATGAGGTCAGCTTGCAACGTTTGGTTGTTTGAAGGGAAGGTGTGCGGCGGCGAACGAGGTCACTTGTATGTGTCTGGTTCCCAAATTTGACTGAGTGCAAGGGGTTGCGCCGGCGTGCTAAGGGTGCGGTTGGTACACAGCAGCTGGGAACCCCGGGCGGGCTTGCTGGGGGTGGACTGGCAAGGCAAACGACCTCCTTGCAAATCGATTGCCTTTCTCCACCCCTCGACGGGCCGCTCTTTCAATGAGTGAGTGAAGGAAGAGCCTCTCTCACTTCCTGTCACCGGCCGTCCACTTATTAAAAGCAACAGTAGTTATGATCGAGATTGATAGTTAAATACGCCGAGACCAGGGGCTGACGGACTAGCGAGGGGTGCCGATTGTCAAGGCGCCGGACGTGTTCTCTTAATGCCTCACTTTATTTCGGAACGGCGTTTACGGCCGCGAGCACGCGAACCGTTTACGCTTTTTATCACAACGGCACATCAACTTAATTGAATTCCATTACATTACTCGGACTGACCAAATAATAAAAAGTAAAATTACACATAAAAAAATTAAAATAGTAAAATTATAAAAATAAAATTTAAAAATTGCATTTTAAATTGAAATATTTATATTAAAAAAAAATTATTTCTTTACTTGAAATTAAACAAAAAAATGGTGTAATTAAATTAAAAATAATATTAAATATTTTCATTAAATAATTTAATATATTATTGAATTTTTTATAAATTATAAAAAAAAAACATTCAATAATTTTAATAGTACAGATTTAATATTTCCTTCAGAAATGCGCCTTTCGATTTGGGAGATGCATCGTAGGGGTGAGGGGTGATACGCTACTATCAACCCCTGTGCGTATCATTCTGAGAATGCACATGAGGAACACACCCCGACCACACCCCCTTTTTACCAGGACGTCTCATTAGCTGTCAAAGCGCCATGGAAATGCACTTTTTCTAATTAGTCTTAGACTCGGCAGCCGCCAATGCACCACCCAAGGCCCACGCACACCCTGAGGCACCCTTTGACAGGGCAGTCGTGGCCCGTGCGCGTGCAATAAGGGCTGAAATGACCCCAAAACCGTGAACCCCAATGTTGACACCGCCAAAAGACAACACCCCAGGTGCCAAAAGAGCCCCCATCGACCTCGAGAGGGGCCGACCAAGGCTCAAATAGGTCCGACTAGAATTAATATTGACAATTTAAGTCACAATTCGCCCTTTTCAGTCAAATTTCAGTCAAATTTGGGGTGCGAGCGTCACAAGGGCGGTGCCAAATTGAGCCCTGATGTCAGGGAAAAACGGCTCGGGGGCGCGATTCAGAGCTCGAATCGGACTCGGTAGGGTGAAATTGGGCCTGGGAATCGGTTGGGGCGGCCGCCGGCGGCCGTCGGGTGCACGTACCTGGCCAAAGGGCCACTCCTCTTGGCCCGCTGGCTGAGGATCTTCTCGACGACAGGGATGTTGCCGTTGCGGGCCGCGTCGAGCAGCTCCTGATCCTTGCCCATGGCCCATCAATCAGCAGTGCCGAACAGGCGCCGAACCGACGGGGCCGCGGCCCCGAACTTGCCGAAAAATCACAAAGCAACACGCCAACTTCATTGATCGGGCGCCTGCCATACTCGCACTGTGTTCGGCGCCATCACACAACAGCTGGCGAATTACTCGGACCAGTCGGGCCCGCCCCCCTCCGGCTCCTGCACCAGCAGCTGATCGAACCGCAGAGCTGACGTCGTGGGCCCGTCTGGCCCCGATTGCGTGCCCCCGATGCCCTAGAACGACCCCGCCGATGATCCTCAGGCTGCTGGCCGTCGGCCTCTCGATCCTGGCGGCCGCCCTGGCCGCCGATTTGGCCCCGCTCCAAGTCCGAGACGCCAGCGGTGAGCGTGTGTTTGTTGATTTCATTTTTTTGCTTCGCCAAGTGTGTTTGTGTTTGCCAACAAGGACGGGTTTGGCTGCAAAAAATCGGCAGTCACATGACTTTGCCAAGGTTTAATTTTTAGCTGACACCTCAAGCTCGACTCACGCAGTGAGTATTGATTAAGACGGTACGAGTGTACGGCCTAAATTTACCATACGCGCAAAGGCAATTTATATTCAGATCAAGCAATTCACCAATGAACAGTTCCCTTAAGGGGCAATAAATGAAAAACATGAAAGGTTAATTTAAAAAATATTATTGCTGTTTTAAACATTATCTTCTTCATTTTATAAGAATAATAATTTTTTATAATTTATTAATTTTATTAATATATTAAATTAAATCAATTAACGATACATTAAATTGAATATCCATTATTAATATTATTATTTTTCATTGTCAAAATTGGTTTAAATCAATAAATATAAATTAGTCTTGATATCTCCATCTATGCCTATGGCTGAATTTAAAACAAATACTAATGATGCTCATATCTCAATATAATTAATTCTTAGTATGCTATGGAATTATGAATTATATAATACAATCCTTTTTCTTTTGCAAGGTATTTGAAAATCAAATGAAGTGAAAATAAAGTGATATAATAATTACAAAGAATGGTTTTTTTTTTATTTGTGAAATTTTGGCAAGAAAATCTCCAGCATGCAATATAAAGAAGGTCCGCATTTAATTATTCCTGAAAAAGTGGACTTCAAATTATGATTTTCTCACGTCACTCAAATCCTTTCTATATGAATAATACATTTTCCTTTTAAATTTTTGTCTGATTAAGAAACATCTTTTTATGTTTAATTTTACTATTGATTCCTTGCATTTCAAATTTCAAACACATTTAATAAAGGTTAATTTTATCAAATAAAAATAGAATAACTTTTAGAAAATGGAAGAAAATTAATCAATAATAAAACCCCTTGAATTAATAGCTAATGTTTTCCAATCTCCAATTATTGCAAAAAATTTTAAGTTCTGCATAAAATAAAATAAATAATCAGAAAATTTTGGCGAGGAGAAACTTAAAATGCAAAATAGAAAAGTGCTGCTGATGAGGCTTCAATAGCCGAAACAGCTGTCCAGCACAAAAAAAAATATGGACAGATTGGGGTGGTTTTAAAGAATTTTAATTTTGAGAAATTTTCGCCCTCAATTAAAATTGTTTATTATAACAACAGGAATTTTCTAACTTTTTTACACTGGTTTTGTCTCAGTATCTCGCGTCTCGGAAACGTAATTCCACGTAAAATGCGTTTAGTCATAAGAACTAATTCAAATTATTTCCCGTTCCGAGTGGTTTCTTTGGGTTTTAAATTCTCAAAAAAGAAAATTGTAATTGAAAGAGCAAAAAAAATTATTGGTTAGGTTTTTTATTTTGGTTTAATAAATCGAGTACAAGTAGATATTTTTTAATATTCAATGTGGATTAATTTGATAATTTATTATTATTATTATTTTTGAAATTAAAACCTCTATATTCACTAAAAACAATGAAATAAAATGAAGAGAAAATTCTGTTAAACGGTGTGAATTTCTTTTGTTATCAGATGGTGACGTGATTCCCTTCATTTTTGGCGGTTCCCCCGCCGACGACATGCTGATGGAGGAAATCAGGGTGATCCCCGTGCTTGGCAAGGTGACCCTGACCGCGCCCAACCTGCCTGCCAACGTGCGCTTCGTGCTCTTCCAGGCGCACTCGTACCTCTACAACGTCACCCTTTCGTACAACGCAGCCCTTTTGCCAGGCGAACACATCAACGGCACCAACGTGGGTTTGCTGGCTCAGCCCGTCGCGAAAACGGCCCAGGTCATTCTGTACAATTTCAACATTGAGGCCAACGCCACTGTCCTCATTGCTGCCAAGGTGCTCAAAATGGATGGTAGGAAACGATTTATTATTTTAATTTTTTTATTTTTTATGAGAAAAATCAGTATCTTTTTAATTTTAAACAATTTTTAATAATGTAAATTTTTTATTAATGAAGTATATTTGAAGCATAGAAAAAAATTAACACTGCTCAATGCTCAATTCATTTACTAGCTGATTTCCATACATTTTTCACTAATCTGTGAGGCAATGTGTTTAAAAAATTGTATATTTTGTCCTGGGAATTGGAACTAAAGTTAAACTTGCGGGGAACATTATTCAGATAACAATTAATTTAGAATTTAGCGGAATTTATAATCTAAACCGGCTAAAATAAGTTGTATCTTGAAATTTACTAACAAATGAAACAAATAACTTACAATTAATATAATCTAATAATTTTTTTAAATAATATGCTTCTTTTAACTTTTTAATAAATTTACCATAAATTATTATAATTTTTTTTTTTTTACACATTACATTTTCATTGATTTTCATAAAGTGTCTATGGTGAAATTTCTAGTAATTTTATATTTTATAGACTTTTTTTTATGTATATTTAATTGTGTTAAACATTTTAAATTACATAATCTTAATGAGTGAATCATGATCGACATGGGTGTGCTTAGACGCGGTGATTTAATTAAAATATTAATTTCATACATTAATGAATTTTTTTTTTTTAGGGTCAGGCCAAAGTCTTGTCGGCCTGTGCCCTTTATTGGTGGTACAGAAGGCACCACCCATTTTTTTTTTAATTTTTTTAGGTTCAACTTTATTAAAAAAATCATCATTTTTGCTGGCATATCCTTAATTTTGGCCGACGCGATGATGACAAAACAAAGCTGTAAATTAAAAAAGAGAAAAAAGATTAAGAAAGGATTTGGATTAGGTTGGGGAAGGTCAGATTTTAATTTTTTTATGGTTGGTTGGATTTACAAATAAATATAAATAAACATATTTTATCAATTATATACATTCAGTCAAATAATTCGTAAACTTTGTTTGATGCCCTTCATGATATAAATTTTTTTAATATGTGTTCTCAGTTCCCATTCCTGGGGGTTGCAACATGGAGTTCAACACCAAATTGGCTCCGTACCTGCAGGTCACTTACACGAGTGACCTGATTATGATGAAGAGTCAACTTGCTGCGCCGCCGCTGCCTTACTCGTGCAGATCTAGTCTGCTTGACTACGACGTTTACCATTTGTACCTGGAGGAGCGCGACTTCACGGGGGCCACGTACTTCGAGGGTGTCCGAAAAATGCTGACGCCAAGCAGAATTGCTCAGCATGCTAAAAAGGTAGGACTTTTTCCTCAACATATATTTAATTTCTTAAAACTAAAAAAAAAATGTAGTGAAAAAATTTATTTTGCTATAAATAGATGTTATAAAGAAATTTCCATGGTATTTATTTTTTTAAGGGCAATATTAAAGTTTTCTCATAAATTTAATTCATTGAAATTTCTTTCATTTTTTCCAACAATTTGGCAAAAAAAATTAATTTAACATTAAAATTTTCTTCACGAATCTGTTGTATTTCTCATTCTTATGATTATTCTTTAATTCTGTATCAATCAGGTACCTGAAATCCTGGGTATGCCCGTGATAGAGAGAACTTTCAGTGCCTACTCGGGAACAGGGTCCGTTTACGTGGTGGTCGCGCGGGGTGAAAAAGACGTCGCCGCCGCGTACGTCCCTGCCGTCACTTACGCATGCAGCGTCGTCTACTGGGACGACACGTGCGAGGTCCTCAGTGAGTTAATTTGAAAATTACCAAATTATATAGTTAGGAAAATAAAAAATCTCTTTTAGCCACAACTTTTTCCAAACTTCTGTGTGCCATCATTCTTTTCCTCGGACTGTTCATCTGCTTTGCGGGCCACTACTATTTCAAAGCAGAGATGTTCGTCTTTGGATTCTTGTCTGGAGGGTTGGTTGCCTACATTCTGGTTGCCCTGCCCGGAAAGTTTGATTATGGAGGTAAGTGAGTTTTGTATGGAAATTTTGAGAAGCGTCCAAATTTTTATTGCTATTGTAATTATTACTGTCAATAACATTTTTATTATTATTATTACTACTTATTTTATTATTATTATTAATTATTATTAATTCAGGCTTTAAAATTAATAGCAATTTGATTAAAAAAATCAATTTTTTCCTTTATCTTTTCAGGTCTTTTTTTCTTCAAAATTTACTTTAACTGCTTTTAGGTTTCCATCAGCATAATTTTATTTATTATGTTTTTATTTATAAAGAGCCTTAGGGAAATTCCACGCATTCGTTTCATACTTGACAATTTTGCGGATGACAAGTTTTCATTTTCGCAGGACATCTCGCCATATCAGTTTTGATAGGCGCAATTTTCGGAGCCTTTTGGCTGTCACTGTGGTGGTTCTACGGCATCCCGGCCATTTCCACCTTGCTGATCACACTCACCTTGGGCTACCTTGTTGCCTCGACGGTCTTCTTCTCCGGAGCAGGTAGCGAAAATAGTAGAGCTCTCTCACTTATCCGAAAAAAAATGTGATTTAATTCCAGCCGACATCAGCGTGTTTCAAAACCAAATCAACTATTGGACGGCTTTCCTCTGCATAGTGGTGGCGGTGCCGATTTTCATGGTCATGGCTGCCCATGTCGTAAGTTGAATAAATCAGACTAATCTTGGCATATTAAAAGGTGACGCATCCTTTTTACTCTAGTCAAACATCGTGGCGTGCAGTATTTTCGGGGCTTACGCCATCATCGCGCCGATTGATCACTACGTCGGGTCCAACCTCAAGTACATCATCATCAACACCGTGAGAAAGGCCACAAATCCAGACTTCAAGTCTGCAATTGTTGATCCCCCATTCCAGACGAGAGGTATTCAAAGATTTATCAAAGGGAGGATTACGAGAAGAAAATTAAAAAAATCATTAATTTTATTTTTTACTGGAAATGAATTATTTTAATCTTTAGAATGAAATTTGATAAAAATTGTTGTTTCAAACAGTTTTGACCCCGATTCTATTTCCAGATCTGATTTTGAGCATCACATGGGCAGTCCTTGCCCTCCTGGGAATCTGCGTCCAGTTCTACCTGCACCGGAACAAACCACCCTTCCCGCCGCCACCCTACACAGTGCTCCAGGACCAACGTGATAGACTGGCCCTCGAGAATGACCCTCTGCTGCCTTCGAGGCCGACCAACGTCTACGCCTCGGTGTCCATGGGTGACGACAGTGTTTTCGAATCGCCTCAGCCGGGCCCTTCGGGTGTCACCAGATGATCAAAGAAGTGCCAATTTACATATATATATTTTTTTTTAAACTAGAGAAAAATTAAACTTTTACAAGATAGTAATTCATTTATTGGTATCTTGCGTCTACACATATTTTTAATAATTATTATTTGGCTACACTCGCTAGAACACTTATTATTTTTATGTTGTTGTTATACAGTAATCACAGGATAACATCTTATTATTGCAAATCAAACACTGCTTCTTTTTTTTTTTGTCAATAAAACGGAGAGAACGAAGGGGTCTCTATTTTTATACACGAACTGTGATTTTCGTTTGCTGCACACAAAATCTCTCGGTGAAAGTAATGGTAAAGTCTCTACTGGTAAATTCCTGTTCCTTCTTTATTATGATCTTCACCAATACATTGCTTCACATGCAGTTTGGGATATAATGAATACGATGCTGGGATCTTATCTCTTTATACACATTTATACAAAGGAGCAGCATGCATTGCAGGAGGGAGGGAGGGTTGAATCGGGGGGAGGGTCTCGTTTCATTGTATTCGATCGGGGGCGATTTGAACTATTTGCCATCATTGTCTACTAATATAGCGATAACAACAACCAGTTCACAACTCTTATACAAAAAAGCAAGAACTCTGTTTCGTTCACACAATACAAGTCTGCAAGATTCAATTTTTTTTATATTAATATATTTATAACTGCCTATCTCTCGATATTTTATAATTACAGCTAGTGTTCAGGCCTAGTTGAGACGTGTGTGAGATTTGAAATATGTACAGGACAGGGGGTGAAGCAGGCCAAAATTAATTTCAAATTAATTACCGCAAATAATTTTGACGCGGTGCTTTTCATGCCATACAATTGTTTCAGTTCCACATATGACATTTATATATATATTTAAATATTTTACAGAAGAATTAATTTTTGTCGATTTTGCTACGATATAAAATTGGCCTGCTCTGCAAGTTGAACAGTTATTGCACATATTAAAATTACTCCATCTGCGGCAATAGACAATTTACTTTGCGCTCTTTCAAGTGAATCAAAACATTTTATAACTCTATCCGATTTTTGTATCTTCACCTCAATACAACCTTGATTACCGGGATGTTGCTTTCTTTTTGTTTGGTCGTTGAAACTGTGTGTGTGTGAGAGAGAGTAAAAAGAGAGTTTTTGAGTTTCTCCTCCTCTTGGGGGGTACGATTGGTTAACAGATGTGCTTCGGTTAATTCAAACTGAGAGTTCAAGAGTCTATGCCTGAGATATGGGTGCTTGCTGGCTCTCGGTCACATTCGCGGCGGGATCGGCGCCTGGCGATGGCGTTCCCGGCTGCGCATGGTTTTCCAACAGGAAGCAGCGGCTGTGTGGAAAACCGAAAAGCTGAGATCACTGAATCCGAGGCCAGTAATTCGAGGTCAGGTCGGGGTTCTGGCTCGGGATTTGTACTGGCACCGACACTCCCGCAGATATCACTCCTGAAACAACAAAAAAGAAAATATTTTTTTCAGTTCGCTAAGTTTTTGACCAGTCAAAAAAAGCATGACCCTTTTACAAAATTAATCAACATGAAACCCAGTAAGAAATTCATTAAAAATAAAATTTAAATAAAAAAGCAAGTAAAGCAGAAATTTTCTGAATCATCCAGAAACTGAGGAGTTTAAAAAAAAAATTTATGCAATTTTTTTTTTGTATTCCTTCTTTTTTCTTTTTAACAATAAATATAGATTTTAATTGTTGTTCTGTACCTGTGGTGGATGCTGAAGTGGTGGTTGGCGAGCCGTAGGAGGCGTGATGAGAGGCGCCCTGCGCGGCGGCGGCCACGGCCGAGTTGCACGCGGCCGCGGCGGCGGCTGCCCGCGAGTTGTAGGTCGAGCTGAGCGAAGACAGGGGGTCGTGGAACATGTAGGGGTAGCCCGAGTCCCTCTGCTGCAGACAACTGCCACTCATGCTGCTCAAACTGGTCGACATGGAACTGCAAACATCCATCACACGTTTTCATCACGCACCGCTGATCGTCAGATATCGGATGGGTTTTGATCGCGAGAAGGGCGAGGGAGAGGGTGAAAAAAAATATCGAAAGCAATAAAATGCAGCGAGCGAGTTTCATTTTTCTGATTGCAATCGCTAATGGAGTAGGTGCATTTTCCTGATTGTTTTTCAGAATTCGGTGTATATTGACGGAACCATTTAAAATAATACAATTATACTAATTTTTTTTACAAATAAAACAAAAATTTTAAAATTTATAAGTTTTGACACAAGAAATACGATATAAGTGAATTATTTTCAGTTCATTCAAAAAGGGTTTTCTATAATTCTCAAGTCGATTTAAAATGATATAGATAAATATCGGCGATTTTTCCAATGAAATCAGTCTTTTTTTAAACAAAATTTGCAAAATTTAGTGATCTATTTGGGCAAAATTGATTGATCCGAGACTGACCTGTAGGTGTCTGCCATGGTTGCAATCGGCTGCGGGATCGATGGGTACATCGAGTTGAAGCCAGCAGGGTTGATGGGCAGTCTGGTGGCAGCAGCGGCCGCAGCGGCTGCGGCCGCCGCGCTTGATGGTGTGCTCGAACTACCCACTGGATCCACGGATCGACGCTGATTGCGCAGTTTCTCTTCCCTTCGCCACTTTGCCCTGCGGTTGCTAAACCACACCTAGAGCAACACAGCAGAAATTCATTGTTACGGTTTATTGAATAAAATAAATATTAATTATTTTATATTTCGACTTTATAAATATTGAACTTTATAATCATGCTTTGACCGCCTGCCTCTAATTGCAGTTTTGTAATGACACTGCTTTTAATTTGATCAGTAAAATTATATTATATAATTTATTTAATTTTCAATAAAATTACCGTTACCGATATTGTGCTCAAAATAACATATTTTAAATAATTTAATTCCAAATCGAACAAATAAATAATATTTAAAAATGTATTATTTTTAATAATAAATATTTACATTGAAAATAAGTAACTAAAATTAACTGTTTAAATACAAAATAAATATTTATTTTATAATTTATTAAATTTTTAATAGAATTACCGATATTGTGCTCAAAATAACATATGTATATTATTTTAAATAATTTAATTCCAAATCAAACAAATAAATAATATTTAAAAAAAATATTATCTTAATAGTAAATATTTACTTTGAAAATAATTAACTAAAATTAATTGGTTAAATAAAAAAATTAATATTTTTAATAAACAGCTTGTAAAATTTTTTAAATAATTTTTGTTTTCATTTTCTTCTTCGGTACGGTACAAAAATGAATTTTGATTTGCAAATTGGGCATTTCCGCGCAATTCTGCTGCAGAGATGAAATAAACGAGCTGGATGAGGGAATTCGCGCGCGTCGGCAGTGCAATAATAAGTCGGTGGCGCGGGCGCGAGGAATTAATTACGGCAAAGAGCGGTGGTTGTTTGCAGGGATTTTACAGTTGCGCACTTTTAAAGATTGCACGGCAGCGCGTGAAATTCCACAAGGGGAAAGACACATAATGAAATAACAGGGCGGGCGAGAGCGCAAAGCGACGCCCGGCGACACAGAGAGAGCAGATTTTTAATTTCCCTTTCGTGCTGCCCGGCGCTCCGGTATTTGCATTTACTTTCAGAAATGTTTTTTTCTGATGGAATATTAATTGGAAAAAGAGAGAGCCAGGCGTGTCACCATGCAAATCGAAAAAAGGCCAAAGCTCCGAAATCAAAGAGGCTTTTAATCAAACAGTTCAGATGCAAATTAATTGGAATTTTTTAAAGAAAATCGTTTGTTGAGCAATGTTTACTCTTTGCAGCTCAAATAATGTGCAATCCAGGTGCGCTACATTGCATTTATGTACCGTACAGTGGGATTTATGTTGCAAAGCCGGAGTGCGACGGATTTATTAATGTGATTGGCTGTAGCCGCCGGCAAACGGATTATTTAGATACAGATTAATGGAGCGCGCCTTGGGCTGCTGCTGATAAACTTATTATGTACATAACACACACGTCCAATCGCAGGACTCACACACACACACTCACCTGTATTCTGGCCTCGGGAAGTCCAATCTTCTCAGCCAACCGCTCCCTAGCGAATACGTCTGGGTAGTGCGTCCTCTCGAACTCTGAATTCAAACAAACCACACCTGCGTCATAATTCTTTGCCTATTCTCGACCAACCAAAATACTAAGAATATTTATTTTTTAATCAAAATTTCACGGGAAAAGTAACTGGACCAATATAATTTTGCAAATTTTGCAAAAAACCCATCAATTTCCTTAACTGTTTTTTGATGTGAATTAAATATTTAATATTATTATTAAATATAAAATTACTTCTTCCAAAGGAAATAAAAATTTGAAGCATTAAGGTCACGATGGCATTTTTTAAGTTTAATTAACATTTGGATTAGACTGTAATTTTTAAATCTATTTAATTTAAATTTGCAAACATCTCATCAGCCTTAGATTTTAATGTCCAGCTTCCAGAACAATTTTCTGTAAAATATGTTTGCTTTCGTTTAATGTTTAATGAATCAAATATGAATTTGAATTGGAAGAACCCTTAAAAATAATTACTTGTAAATTTTTTTACAAATATTTTCTAAGAAAATCGTGTTGTTCGTATTTCATTTGAAATAAACAAGCCAAATCACATAATTATGATTGTAAAAAGTGATTGATTTTCTTATCCATCAAATCTGAAAGCAACAATTCCCTGTGTGCACCAATTTAATTCCATTCTCGGAAAAGCCGAAGCCGTTAGCAAGGTTGTTTGCATACAAACACGCAAGGGTATGTATTTGGCGAAACGCTGATGAAACTTTTTGGCCTTTGTGGAGTGCTCGTGTGTGTTTTTATTTGAATAAGATGATGAATGATATGGATGAAGAAGAGCTAGCGAGAGAGAAATACCCGGGATTTGCTGTGCGTGCATGGAAAGTTTTCGGTTTACACGGGATTTATAATGTCAACATGTGGCAGAGAGCTAAACAGCATCTACTCGCGCCGAGAGAGAGCAGAGAAGAGCCGCTTTCATCATAACTTGAGATGAAAGTGCTGTGTGAATATACGTATGTGCACCAGCAGAGCTTTTAGCTGCGCAAAGTGGAGGAGGCAAAAGTTTCTTCGCCGGAATCTCCGCGCGGGCGGAGAGAAAGAGAATGGATTGTTGCGAGAGAGGGAAGAAAAATAGCCGCGGATAAAAGCGAAGAAAATGAAATGAATCTTGTCGTTGAGATCTCATCGCTGTCTCGAAACCTTTCTTTCTTTCTTTCTTTCTGTTCCAACCCCTGCCCCCCGTCGACCATGAGCAAACGCTGCGCCGCAAAACTCCCCAGAGACGCGAAATTAAACCCGTAGGCAATGAGATTTGTTCTTTGCCCTGAGACGACTTTTCTTCTTTCTTTCGCTCTCCGTTTTCTTTTTTCTCTCCACCCGCCTTCATAGTGATTTCTCGGGCGATGCGATTTCCATCTCTAAGCCGCAAAAAGTGCGCGGCACCGCTTGCTTTTCTTCAATAAAGGTACTTTGCTCTCTTTCTCTAAGCCCAGCTTTTGGTCAGTGAGATTCCTCCTATACTTTAATTGCCCCCCAAGAGTGCTTTTCTAGATCAAAATCTAGTATTAATTATGAACTTTTGGCTGATTTTTAGTCTGCATGAGATTATAAATTAAGTATGGTTCTTAATTGCTTGAAATTCGTAAAATTGTTTTATTTTTAAATATTGAGGAGCGTTTTTTCCTATAATATATTCATTTAAATTAGCAAGGAACCCAACAATATTACAAATACCATGTTTATATAATTTTTTTTCTTTTGATAAATCTATTATTTGCTTTTTTGCAAAACAAAAGAATGTTGGTTCGCTCACCTTTCTCCAGAGCTTCGATTTGTTCGTTGGTGAATGACGTCCTGTTTCGCTGCAATTTGCGTTTCAACCGCAGTCGCAGTTGCGAATCTTCGTCGCCAGAAGAGTTGTGCTCCGAGTTGCCGTCTGAAGTGCTTTCATTGATCACGCCATCCACTGTGAACAAAATTTTTATCATTAGCTTCGTTTTCATAGTTAAAGAGAACTAAAAATTCAATTCACTTGTCGTTTTTAGAATGATATCCTATTAATCGCTATTAATAATTCACAATTCGTAAATATTACAATTCGATTTTAATATTTTTACTTATATAGCCTCCTTATTATTGAACTGTAAATTGTCATAACTGAAAAGTGCATGCCAAAATTTAACCAGTCCAAAATTGATAATATATCATGTCTCATGTTCCTTGCGATTACAAATTTTGGGTTTATTTATAAGTTATTTAAAAGAAAAAAAATTGAATTAAGTATTGGGGGACGAATTAAAATGCAATAAACAAGGTTATGGAAAAAAACAATATAAAAAAGGAACTTGATTTTAGATTATAATTTTAAAAATAATGATATATTATAGAAAAATATATTAATTTGATATAATTATTATATTAAAAATAGTAGTTTTTTTTAAGTTTAAATTTATAAAATTAAATTATTAAATTTAAAAATAAAATTTTAATACTACAATTTCTATACAGCAAAATAATTTTTAAACAAACATTATCTCATTATTATGCATCTTGCTTAATATGCACAAAAGTAAAATTTTAGTGGAGCGCGACAACTGCCATCAATTCAAAAGCTTTTTATTTGCACCCCTGGCGTGCCTCTAGCTTTCATCACAACACGAGAGAGAGAGATAATCCATTTTTGAGCAGATATTGGATTATCCACCCAGAACGCACCCCTTGCTCGTTCGGCTCGGTTGCGCCGGCTTGCGTCGCGTTACGCGCCGACAAAACGGATCTCGCGAAATATAATAAAACATTATTTGCTCTTTCATGTTGGGCACCGCTAATTAGATCACAATGATGCAGTCGGTTAAATTGCGACCCCTGCGGGACGATAAACATGCTCGCCTATTTATAATACTTATCGCCGCGAGGGTTGTGACGCGGCGCGGGGTGGGTGGGTGGGTGGCGAATTTCTGTTGCCACGCAAAATGACACACATGGTTTGTTTACACATGAAAGGACACCCAATCTCGAGTCATCAGAAATACAATTGAGATCGCATTGTTTGTCCCTCGCATTTATTTTATTAATATACGTATCGCAGGATCTCCGACGTGCGCTCCAAATATAACAAGAGGGAAACCCACGCGTACATGTTACTCAAAGAGCAGCTAATGAATTATTCCATCCAGAAGCTGCGTGACAGATGGTGAAAGTAATGCCAAAATATTTGTACATAAATATGACGAGATTGGATAAATTGTTGGTGATTGTTTTGTAAAATATATTAATGTCATTTTTCCGAATTTGAAAACACTGAAATCATTTTCAAAAGATTAAAATTAGTGTAAAATATTTTATTTTTAAATTGCAAGATTTTGTTAAAAGTAAATCTAAAATGAGAATATGTAATACTAAAAATTCTGTAATATCTTGAATATTCTAAAACAATTAAAACACTTATTATTTGAATTATTAACTTTAATTATAAAATATATTATAATTTTTTATTATTATATGCAATTATATGAATAAAACATTTTTAGTAATGATTTAAACAACCATTTTCATTAATTTGCTTAATTTTTAATTTTATTTTACCGCGGCGGCCGTATCTCTTTTGATGTCGGGCGTTTTAGCAGACATCTGCTAGTTGTAAACCCTTTCTTCTCTTTTTTCCAATTTAAAATTTTTGTATTGACCGAGAAGAATAAATAATAATAATAATAATTATTTGCAGAATGCAATAAATTGAATGTTCAAGTAGAAAAATATTGGCATGTAATGTAAACGCGTATTGCAAGGGAAGTTTTGTCTTTCGACTCATCACTTTAATAATATTTATTCTTCTCGGTCAATACAATAATTTTAAATTGGATATAAATTGACTTTATTTCACTTAGTTAATAAATAAATAATTTGTGAAGATATTTTTATTAATAGATTTTTGTAGGGAAAATTTGCTATTTACAAAATGTAGTTTTCTCTTTTGCTTCTTTCATTTAATTACATACTAAATAGTTCGTTTTTAAGATAAATAACATTTCCGCTAATGGTTTTGCTGGTTACATTGAAATTTTCTGAATTCCTTTTTTTCTTCAGAAAATATGTTAAACTTTCGGTAGTTTCTTTTCGTTTTTTGGTCATCTGAAAAAAAAATGAGACGAAAATCTTTTTGTTCTTCAACTTGGTAAGGTTTCACTCGAGTATGAAAAAGTGGCCTGTGTACTTAAATTGTATGCGAGTTCAGGGCGATACGCTCGCTCACTCGGCGCGTATCCCCAATATTGAGCAAGAGGATTAGTCGGAACGAAAATTCTCTTTGTGTCTCATGCACAGTTGAGTCTGGCAAGGTGTTTGCTTTTGCGGGGCCATGCTTAATTACACACCTTTAGAACAAGGTGCATACATACAAGTGATATGGATTAAAGAGGTGTTGTCGGAGTCCCCTGCAAACAAAGAGCAGCACACGCCGGCAGCATTAGATTCGCATCTCCCACCAGCTCGTACTCCCTTGGCTCGCTGCTAAACGCGTGAAACGCCACCGCATTTGCGACGCTTTTCGCTCGCCCAGCGCCACTCTAAATTTACCTACTAATTTGTGACATGCGGGCGTATAATAGGTGCGCCCAAGACCACTTGGAGAGGAATAATTAATTTAATAAGCACTTACATAAACTTGTGGAATTCATGAATTAATATTATTTATGCTACAAAAATAATCAAGCGTAAAAAAAGGCAGAAATTGTGACCAAAATTTTGACATTTCTCTAATATTTGTTTTTAAATTTTCAAATTTGTAGACGAAAATCAGAAGTGACAGAAATTTCTTGAAAGTAATGATAATTTCTGTTTGTTTAAATGAAAGTTATTTTAATTTAAAGCATTAGCTTATTTTGAAAAAAAAAATGATTGTCTATTTTTACAATAAAACTTATTTAATGGGAAACGCGAATGTTCTGAAATTACAATAAAAATATTTCCTCTGAGAACGATGACATTCATTTTTGCCATTTAATTGAGACATTTAAAACCAATTTACTTTTCCATCTCAAAATTTCATAAATTTAATTTTAAGTCAGAAATTAAGAAAACAGAGCAACACAAACTTGGCTTGGATCTTGATTTTTCCAAAGCTAAAGAAATTATTATTATTATTGTTGTTGTTTATTTGTCCAAATTGTTACATCAAATTTAAGAATTTTTGGTAACTCTCGCTCACTTTGGTTTCTTAAATTATTCAACGAAATTAAATTTACTTTTAAATAAATGTATAATTGGAAATGAAGAGATCGGGCTTTTCCTTGTTGCAAAAAATTGTTTTTATTAAAAAAAAAAAAACCTGGCCCGATCTCTGCTTCATTTCCATGATCATCTCCTCGAGTGTCAACTTCTTCAAACTAATATATAATTGCTTTGTTTTCTTGGAAACGGAACAAAAAATAAATTGTATCACTCTAAAGTTGCCTTTTGTCAATTCATTACACATTACAGAATTTCAAAATATGAGAACAGAATGAGCAGAGTTGATAAATCACATGATATCAAAGAAGTTGCAGATTCAAGGGAAACTGTGATTTTAATTTGAGCCTTATTTCTCATATAAATATGAAACATAAATAGTATTCCAGGAACGCAAAAAGCCTCACAATCCAATCGAACGATTATATTAAATCGGGAGGAAATGCCGGTGCGCGTTTCGGTGGCGCTGCCCTTGGAGCTACACAAATGAAAGAGGAGGCGCAGAAGCGTGGCGATAAAAACAATCGGCGCGGAAGATTCGGCGAAACAAAAGGCGAATTTGGCGCTTTTGACGTTTAATTAAAATTCTAGCCTAATCAGGGAGGAGCGTCGACGGGAGATTGCGTATAGTGGCAGCAGCGGCTGAAATGAACAAACATTTCTTCCATCCGACTGCTCATTCCATCTAAACACGTAATTGTGTTGGTCGTAAATTCCATCAGTGGGCCCTCGCTGCTGCTGCCGCTGCTACCGACCGGGGGTGGCGGAGGGTGGCTGAGCAGCGAGCGGGGGTGGAGGAGGAGCACCTCGCCCTCTCTTTCGGGCCCCGCAATCTGCTACAGGGGAGGCAGAACAAGCACCGCGTGGCGGCAATCCGAGCAGCGGCGTTCCACACCGTTTCCATGGTTACCCCCGGCGCACCCCCGCAAAATGAGCCCGAGGAGATGAACCGACGAGGGTGGTGGTGCACAAAAATATTGCGTATCTGATTCCATTTTGCATCGCCCAGTGCATTTTGGCCGCACGCCTCGCTGCCTCACAATTTGCCAATCGAGCCGAGCTAGGGGCGCATTTTCGCCGACAACTTACTCTCGCTTTTCGGACTAGATCTGCAGCAAAAGAATTGCTTTGCACCCGCCGACGAAAGTAACGCGCTTTGCTTCGCCGGGCTTATATTGATTATTAAATAAAACACGGGCACGCTTTTCTCGCTTCTGTGGCCACTTTTCCAGCATGAACGAGCGTGAAATCAATTCTGTACTTCTCTTCTGTTTGCTCATTTATTTGAAACTTGTGTTTCCTCTCATCAAGTCCATTTTCCAGTGGCTTATCCTGATGAGTATTTAGATATTAACGATTTAATTATGTTATTGAAAAAACACAGAACGTTAATTAAATTGTACTTTTTCTTCTCCAAGTTTAATAAAATTAATCAATTGAATTTACGAATTTCATCATCAAATGGCATCGATTGCAGACTACACGTACTATAGGATAACTATCAAATTTCATTCTTGACGTTCAATGCAATCTTGACTTAATTAATTCAATTTTCAATCTATTATCAACTACATGTTAGAAATTAATCTTTAAATTTACTTTAAATTACAAATTAACCAATTATATTAAAAGAAAATTTTAAAAAAATAACAAAATAAATAAAATTTTAATAGAAAACTGATTTAACTCTAAAAGTTATATTAATTTAAGAAATATATCATTTAAAATAAATTAGTTTTAATTTAATTCAACTGTTAACTTAAAAATCTAATAAAAACCCCATGTTTTTGCTACAATTTAATAAAAAGTACTGTACGTGATGGTATGTTTTGGCAATAATAAAGAACTAGAGATTATCCAAAAATATACTTTTTCGTACTATGCCCTCTAAAAATAACTTAAATAAAGGTTTTGAAAGCAAATAATTTTTTTCAATAAATTAATTCAACTTTTTACGTTAGCTATGTTCTGCCCAAAAACAAACATGTTAATTTTTAATTTGCGTTAATGGAGAATAAATAAATTATTAAATAGAGACTTCATGTTGTGTGATTCTAAACAGAATCAATTTTCATTCGTTTGGAAAGAACCGAGAGAGAAGCGTGTTCACCGAATCGCAACTCCTCTTGCCGCGAGTGTTACAAATGCGCTGAAACTGAATCAAAGCATTGAGTTTTACACCTCACCAGCGCACGTTCAATCAATAGTTTGGCGAGAGGTAGGCAACGCGCACCGCACTCGTGCTCAACAATTTGCCTAACTTTCATCTTCACGCCGGCAGCTGTACAATATTTGTATTTGTTTGAGGCAAAAATATTTCCTCATCTACGAAAAAGAATGTAAAAATACCAATATAATTTTTGGGGAAATTTACGAGATGCACCTCGTTGGCGGAGCAGGGCGAGATTGGCGGAAAATCGATTGGCACGCGCGCTCAGGCAGGCTTAAAACCTGTTACAAAATCACAAATGAAGTGTGTTTGATGAAAACGCGCGACGGCGGCGGGCGAGGCTGGCGTTCATTTTATTCGGTGGTTTTTTGAAAGGGCGAATACCATCCGACCGGGCGGGAGAGAGAGAAGAGCTAAAAGGGAAAATTGCATCACATCACGCTTGCGCGCACTCAGCCAGCAGCGTCTCTTAACACGCTCATTGATTTAGGCTTTTCTTTTGCTTCACCTGCGCCAACCGAGCGTACCAAATCTTCGCGAGCTGTTATAAAATAAATTTTCAAGAACATTTTTCGCTCTTTGCCTTCAATGCCGGCTGGGGTTGAAAAGAGAGCTCGAGCGAGCAAGCGAGCTCACCACTCGCCCCCTTGTCGAAAACCGCAGAGAGAGAAAAATGTGTATATGTAGATGTGGAGTCAAGTGCTCGGCTGTTTTTTCTCTCTCTCTCTGCGATGAAAAGCGCTCTTAAGCACGTTGCCTGTAATTATGTCCTCTTCACTTGTGTGCGCGCCGTGCTCGCCGCGTGTGTACCATCATCATTCCCTGTATAATTATGTATCGCGTCATTAACTTTTATTCCTTTAAAATGCTCTCCGAGACATTTTGGGCGCTCCGGGCAAAAAAGAGAGAGCACCCTTTCTACCATTAAAGGTGTTCCGGAAACAATGAGCGTTCTATCTACTCCTTTCAACAAAGTTCTTTTTCTTATTTTGTGTTTTGAACGCTCAAATGTGAAGTGGAAGAAGAATAACAAAAATTGATTTGGTTTTTAATTTACAATCTCATTTTTAAGGAGGTGCTCCTGATATAATTGACAAATCTGGTCATTTTTTGAATTGTACTCATTGAGAAAACACTCCAGAATCAAATTTTCTCCATTCCGTGACTGCAATTTGTAACATAAGAAGAATAAATATTTATACAAAAATATTTAGCTAATCCCCTTTCTTTGCCAAAGTGCGATTTGATTTTTTTAATGCTTTCTGAAATTAGAGCAAAATAAATCAATCTCTGTCCAATTGGCAATTAAAATACTGAAATTGATCAAAATTTGCAACCCAAATGAACCAAAAATAGTTGTCGCGCAATCCCAAAAGTCAATCAATCTGTTTGTCATAGAAAATACAAAGTGGCCACTCAAATCGCAGAGCGTGCGTGCGGCGCAAATAAATATTTATTTTTGCTCCAAACATTTATGTAGCTCAGTTGACCTGTTTATTTGTTCAGCTACTCAATTATAAACAGTGACCCGTGCGCTAACGAACGCGCTTTTTGCCACTCTAAAACGGCTAATTAACTTTGGACGACGAAAAAAAATTGCAAATGCGCCTACCTCGCTTTTGCAGGTCGTCCCTGGTGACTTGGGCGGCCGACGGAAGAGCAGCCGTCGGGTTTGGCGGCAGGCTGAGGTGCGGCGTCGGCGTCGTCCCGGGGTACCAGGCCCAGCCTGGGGCCTGCCCGTTGAACATCCGCAGTTTGTCGTAGACAGACTCGCTCTGCGAGGACGCCTGCTGCTCTTTTTGTGCGGCCAGATTGCGCAGCACCCGATTAATCGACGACACCTGCAACAGACATAAACGTGTTTTGTTTATTTTTAAACGCATGGAATAGGAAAGAAAAAATAATTTGGTTCAAAATGAGAAGCTTTTTTTATAAACCTCTCCTTCCTATCATAATCAATATGGGGTTCAGTGAAGCAGAAGATTTCAATCACTGCAATTTGTAGATTTTTGACTAGTCACACTGTTGGTAGTTGTGATCTCTGAGTCGATTTGAATTCATTTCTCTAATCAATTTTCCATTTTTTTTTTTTTTTAATTATTTGTAATACATTCTTTAAAATCGCACAACAAAAATTTTAATGAAATTACGAAAATGCTCCCACTATTTTAAAATAAATATTAAATATACTGAAAACTTGTTTTAATTTATTTTTATTTTCTTTAAAATCAAATGATCTATCCCTGAAAGCATATTTTTTTTTAACTTTTTCTTTGCATATATCTCTCTTTAAAAGGAGCAAACAAGTGCAGCGGTGAATTTTTGGCAAGGCGGCACGCGTTGTCGGCCGTTAGTGTCGCCCCCAAATGAGCGAAACAAGGCGGGCGTGTGTCAACACTCAAGGAGCCCGACGATCTTTGCCAATCTGATGCTGGCCGTTGATGATGCACTTCTCTCTCGCTTTAAATGACTTAGCGTGCGTTCGCGTTGCTTGGGGGAGGAGTCGTTGGAGTGGAAAATTTTCGAATAATGCGCCGAGCTGCGCACGAAACTAGAGAGAAAGAGAGCGCCAAATATAAATAAATATATATAAAGCAGGGGGCCAGCTGGGAGGACGCTAAAAGATGGCAAACACTCGCGTGTGCTGTAGTTGATGCTGCTGAGGGGATGTGAATAAATCATGTTCCAACTATGTTTGCACTACAAAATCATCGGGGACGCCGCTAACGAACAAGCCTGCCAAGTGGGTTATTTGTTCCCACAGAGCTGAACATGGAAATCAATAATAATGCTTCACATTAGACCAGATTAGTATATAATTAGTATAAATTAAAAGTGGCACGAAATACGAACCTTTGAAATTTTAAATTAAGTTGAATAAAATTTTGGGAAAAAGGTTCATGCTGAAATGAAATTAATTTCATTTGTTTGCCACACTAAAATTAGCCCAATGTAGGAATTATAATATATTTAAAGATAAAAAAAAAAAAATGTCTGGCGAAAGAGTCAACTTATTAGACTCCAATTTTAGTTCAAAAGTTACACTTACAATCTTTTTAAGCAAATATAGTCTAAAAAGTCTTAAATAAAAGGTCGTAATTCAAGTATTAGTTATTCGGGAGAAAAGTGATTTGAGAAAATTTTGACAACTACCAAAACATTTTTGAAGTTTGTCATAACAAAAATTTTTATAACGGAAAATTGAAATTCTAACATGAAAAATTGATCACATGTTAACAAAGAGGGTTTATTTATATTATCTGTGGCATAATTTAAGTTTTTAGAACTTTGAAATCTTATTCTTATTACAGAATTTTATGATAGAACTGTTATTTTTAAAAGAGGCAGAGATTTTTTATTAAAAGTCTATTTTTCCACACAAACAAAAAATAATTAATTGTTTGTTCATGTAAAAAAGTATTAATGGTACAGTAAAAAATATAAATTCTACAACAAAAATAATGCAAAAAAATCCCATTAGCAGTGCAGATGACGCAAAAATTTCTTTAGTATATTGATGTAATTAATTATTTAACAAACTAAAAAGTATTAGAAAAACTTAAAAATAAGACCTGATAAACTTGTAATGATTATTTTAAAATTTGTTTCACATTTTGACATTGAAAAACCTTCATGCTTTCTCATTCCATTTTTTTTTTCAGAATTGCAATTTTTTTCAATAATTTCCCTTAATCAATTTGTGTCAATTTTTGCTTACGTAATAATTGAATTCATTTCCAAAAATGTTCAAAGGTGTCAAATTTCATTTGACAGTGCAAATTACGCAACAGAATTAATCAATTAGCCGCAGACCGATCGAAAAGAATTTAAGGCGTGACAGATTCATTCGTCGTGTTTAATTCGATTTGCACCCCAAAAGTGCTGACATCCCATCGAGTTAGCTCGGGGCAAAAATGGTGGCGCTGAATGGAGTTGTCGGATGAGTTATCATCATCAATATGGACGAGTAACACGGGGTGTGGGTTTTGATACTAACGCTTGAGTGCGCACACTCGATATGGGCAACTAACTTTTGCCTCGAATCCATCCAACGGAAGAAAAGAAGAGAAACTGCGAAGCTTCAGCGCCCTTCCGCCGCATTATATAAACTGCCTCGGCCAACTTTCTTATACTTTAACGCCGTCATCGCGAATTCCAGTCGCGGCCGGTGCAAAATTGATTTGTGTTTGCGCTCCGCTCGTCATTATCTGACGCCCTACTTCGTTATTCGAGTCGACCGACGTGCACTTTTGCTCTCGAAGGAGAAGAAGAAGAAGGTGCTGACTGGTCAATGGCCATCATCTCATTAGACGAAGAAAAAAAAACGCGGGACGTGCAGAGGCCTGCTGGTGGAATAGGAAAAAATGATAAGGGAAAAATGTTATTTTTGTTATAAAAGAGTAGGGACAGCGATTCAGTCGAGTGGAAACTGTAGAAGAAGAGAAAAAATATACCAGAGCAGCCGGAGAGGGAAACTTTTAGAGGTTTTCTGCTCCTTCGTTCTTTCTTTCTCTCTTTCTCGGTCGGCGGCAGATATGATAAATTTTTCCCTTATATTTCAAAATATTTTCCCAATCTGCTGCCGTTTTTCTTGTCACGGAGCGCACTCCTCCTACCTCGCCCTTTTTTCGGAACCACTCGAGAGTGAGTGCGCGAGGAATTAAGACTTTTCAACAAAACACCAGGTGCTGTGTGTGCGACTCACGCATACAATCGTGTCCTCTCTTCCGCCCCGGCTGGGTTTAATAAGCTGGAAATCTGCCAGAGTGATAAATCAATTTATTTCGAGACCTAGGAAAAAAACGACTAAGAAATGTATAGCAAATAAGAGGAAAATTCAATTGAAAAGAGATGGAAAATATAATTTCTTTGGTGTGTGCACAGAAATATTCTTATTAAAAATATAAAAAACTGCAGTAAATTGAATTTATAAATAATGTAATAGAAATAAAATAACAAGGAAAGATGGTTCTTGTACCAAATTTATTAAATTTTATTAAAGATCCTCTCCGGTCAAGTGTATTTATCTCTATTCTGAAAGATTGCCAAATTTCGAGTATATCTTGTGAAAACACTATTTGAAAATTCCAGACCGTTGCGTCTCAATCAAAAGAAAACCTAAATACGAGTGATTCGCGCGAAAAACGTGAGAATTGAGTAGCCAATCAGATCCATCAGTTTGTTCCAAAAACTACAGAATTTGGTCACATTGGCGCTGCGATCGCTGATTTTGCCACTAATGCCCCACGGCGCTGCAGAAAACTTGGCAAAATCAGCGATAGCAGCGCCAATGTGACCAAATTCTGTAGTTTCTTGGAACAAACTGATGGATCTGATTGGCAACTCAATTCTCACACGTTTTTCGCGCGAATCACTCGTATTTAGGTTTTCTTTTGATTGAGACGCAACGGTTTGGAATTTTCAAATAGTGTTTTCACAAGATATGCTCGAAATTTAGCAATCTTTCAGAATAGAGAGCAATACAAATGACCGGAGTGGATCTTTAAATACAATTTACCCTATAAAGCTTTTGCAAAACAAGCCAATAAGAGAAAAATAATACTAATTATTCGTATTCGCCCGTGTCGTAAACCTGCGATTTTCCAGCACATATTTTCCCATATTATACTTATTCGATCTGCCTACTGAAAGTACTTGGCAAAATTCCTATACCTAGGTATCATCTTGAAGCTAGTCTTTGACAATGGAGCATTGGCATTGTCTTTGAGAAATCCTGTAGCTGACAGCACATAAAGCGACGAGTGCAATAAGCTCTGGCAGAAAGTCTTTATAAGTTGGTTCTCTCACCCACCCACCCACCCACTCAGCCAAGCAAGTCTCGAAATGTGTGCTGATTTATCTTCTCGGGCCATTGTCTTTCTCTCTCTCTCTCTTGGCCAACATTAAAGAGCGAGGATGGCCAGAGGAGGAGCGGTTATTAGCGCCGCAGCCAGCCCAGTTTGATTATTGAAAAGGCACATCTCTCTCTCTTTGCGTCGTCGTCTCTCGTCATACGCACAATGGCAAGAACGCGTACAATTAGCTCGCAGGCCAAGGAAATAGCCCAGATTCTCTTAACTCATCTCTCTCTTGTGAAGAAAATCTCAAAGAACGGGCGCACAATGGTTGCGACGAGACGCTCCACTGCGTCTGGAGCAGTGGAAATTATTTGTCCATCGCCATAGTAAGAAGGTCTCTCTCCGGAGAGGAGAGCAGTTGAAAGGCGCGCTCAGAGTTCAAAGTGGCGATTGCACGTCTGCAGTAATTCCTTTCTGTCATTTTCGAGTACAACAATTTCTTTATGGCGCGATACAATGTGACCGCTGCCAACGAGGGCACTGACGTTGTAAAGTACAGATTTTGGATAGAAAAAAAATTTGAAAAATTTCCGTAAAAGTAGAAATCAAGTAAAAACCATTCCTGTAATAAAAGGCTCACTGCGGAATATTTGTAAACGCATATAACGTCAACAGAGTAAGCTTTGAAAATGTTTTTCACTAATTTTTTTTTATCATCGTTGTTCTTGTTAATTTAGCTATATTATCAAATTCAACAGTATTGAAACCCACCTATTGATTATAAGTTTTAAGATAAAAAATAATTTACTCAAAACAATTTCTACGAGTTTTTAATAAATATTTATAAATATAAATAATATAATGAAAACATCCTAAATGTATGTGTAAAAATTAAATATTTAGAAGGTTTAATTTAGAATTAAATATAATAATGTAAAAAATAAATAATTTAACAATGAAAATATTATAAACAATAAAAATTGTTTAATATAGAAGATTAATATTTTTTTACGTTTTTATGTATATTGAAAGTTTTTGGATTG